TTAGACTCTGAAGATAACAAAATGAACAGGCATGGTACTTGCCTTTCAAGAAATTTCATTTCATCCCAGGAATTGTAAACTGTGATTTGTTACAAATTTTCTGGAAAACAGTTTGTGGCAGTCAGTTATCAAAAGCCTTAAAAATGTGCCTACCTCTTGATTTAGCACTTCTGCTTCTAGGAATTTGTCGTAAGAGAAGAATCTAAGATATGCATAAAGATTTTTAACCTTTAACACTTTTCCTTCTTACTGGAAACTTTTTATTATGAAAAAGAAAAAATTATCCAGATATTTGATTTGGCAGCAACAAAGATCTCGTTTTCTTCTCTTACTTTCACTGAGTAAACAAAAAAAAGGAGAAGACAAGAAATGTTCATCTGCTGATCTACAATGCATTGATTCCTTCGTCTGGCATATCCTGCTCACGGTACCCTTCTCATCCTCCCCACCCTCAGCTTCATGTGGCTTTGAAAGTATTCCTACCCCTGGAAATCTTACCTGCTAAGGAGTAGAATCTCTGGCTCTCTGCTCTAGGATTGGGTTCAGCAGAGGTAGACTTGGTTTAGAGAGCTGGGAGAAGATTGGGAATGAAGTAGTAGAGGTAGGTAGCTTAAGGCTAAGAAGGGTCTCTATCCTGTTGAGTGTTGGGCGGAATCTGGCATAATCTCCTGTGAAGCAGAGCAGCTAGAGTAAATTCCGGTCAGCTTCCAGTCAAAAGGGTTTTGGAAGGAACTCTCATCTGTTGATGGTGCAAAGATTTAGCTACAAGGATGATCTTCTCTACATTCTTTATGATAATAATAAATTGCTAATAACCCAAAATTCTATAGACTGGTTAAACTGGTTTGCCTATGTACTATGCCAATAAAAAGGTAAAGAATATTAAAATATAGCAATTGACATTTACGATATAGTAAATGAAAAAAATGTATTTTGTAAAATCTGCATATTGGTTGTATAACCAGCGTTACGGTCCCATGCCTTTTTGTCTTCATTCCCACCCTCCTTGTAAATTTCTATCTCTGGATAAATTTCATACTATATACTTTCTTCACTTCAACTTTAGAGCTGAAGATTATTGCTGAATTAAGCCACACGACCATGCTCTTTGATCTTCAGTGCCTTTCTATTTCATTCTGGCAAGGATCACTAAAAACCTGTTGCTGTCGAGCCTGCTCTGAATCATAGCAACTCTATAGGACAGAGTGGAACTGCCCCATAGGGTTTCCAAGGCTATAATCTTTATGGAAGCAGAATGCCACATCTTTCTCCTGTGGAGCAGCTGGTGGATTCGAACCACTAATCTTTCAGGTTATAGCCAAGTGCTTTAACCACTACACTACCAGGGTTCCTTCTGACAAGGATAGTTCCAAAATTTTCTTGTTTCCTCATGTCTGTGGTGCCATCCTCATATTTTCACGTGACAGGAACACCTAAACTTCCTCTCCACCTCCACTTGCCAATGCACTTCGTGATCTGCAGCTTCCAAAGTCTTGGAACTCTTCATCATTTTGAAACTGTTCTATCTTTTGTAATAATAGTTTGTATGTGAACAAGCCTTATTTCCTGTAAAATCTTTGAGCATGGGAGTCATTCTGTTTCATCCTTGTGTTCTTGGTGTTCGAAATTCTTCCAGATGACCATGAACTTGCTGGTTTCTTGATAGTCTGCAGTAAATATGGCCACCATTTATTGGTTGGTTCCAAGATACTGTCTGCATGCTTCTTTCTTTTCAGAAGTGTATTTGAACAGTTGAAACCTCAGCAAAATTGCTGCTTGATGTTATATTTTAAAAACAGTTTTTTGTTTTTTTTCAAATCAGTCCTTTTGGTATTGAATACATTTTGCCTGAAACAGTGGAAATCAATTTTAGTAAATGATTTCAAGCCCATTATTTCTGGATAGTACTCTTTAGCAGTATTGCTGTAACTGAATATAATTGATAGTAGAATCAACCAGTTCCTAGTTTGATAGTTACTATGTTCTGTTGAAGGATTTTAAAATTAGGTATATTTAGCAGTCTCTCATTGGACATAAAGTTGTTTTGAAATAATTTTTAAACATTCCTGACAGAAGAAAACTAATTTGCCTTTTCCATTTTTACTAGGTAAGAATATTAGTAGTAGAGTGATAGATACAAATAGCTCAATTTTTGCTATTGAGCAAGTATTTTATAAATACATTTATAGAACTGAGTATTGTGTACAAAATAGTTTTCTTTAAAGCACTTATACCTAACAAGTAGGATAAAAAAACCTATTTGTATGACAGTATTCTTTTTATTTTTTTCTCTTTTTAGGCCTCATTGCTACGATTTCAGAGTACCCTGGTAATAGCTGAGCATGCAAATGATACCCTAGCACCCATTACATTAAACACCATCACTGCAGCCAAACGTCTTGGAGGTGAAGTATCCTGCTTAGTAGCTGGAACCAAATGTGACAAGGTGAGAAATTTTTAAGGTCAGCCGTAGCAAATATAGTCTCCATCAAGAGACAGGGAAAGATGGCAACAGAGAATTATGCTGAGGATATAACCCAAATTGGGCTCTAATCCTCATTGAATGGCCAGTGTCACAACTATTACTGTGTGTGAAAAAGAAACTAAAAGGTTTGCTCACTCAGCATTTTATCTTTTGAAATGAAGTAGAATGCTTGATTTAGTTCCACTGGCACCGTCATGTGTGCCACCAGGTACCAAGTAGAATGATAATATTTGAGGCCCCTTAGAGGTTAATAGTCAATACCTTTTTTGTACTGATGAATGTACTTGCTAATTGCATTTAATTCCTGAAAGTGGTAAATCTGGACAAAGCATCACAGGTGTTAATTTTTAACTGGCAGAAGAATTCAAATGTAAGTATTATTCTTTCCAAACTCAGTTGATGCTAAGGTATATTCTTTTTTTTTGGTGTTGTTGAAATAAGATAATGACCACTTTGGAAACTGATCCCCCTAGAAAGATGTTATAATATTGTCTGCAGGGTCTGTGCCACTGGGCTGCAGAATCATGCTTTAGTTAAGTTTATACAGCTTGAGCCACCAAGTCCCTCTTACTTCGTACAGAAGCTGCTGAGTTTGTAATTGGGAGCTTGGAATTCAGAGGGAGAAATCTGGAGAGAGCATGTTTCTTTCTAGAGCATTTTGTTTACATATTTTTTATTAAATAACATTGTTGCAGAGCATGTAATAATGCCGGTTCAAAACGCTGGTGTCACTTCTGTTTAATTTCTTATGTGAATTGGTATCTTAAAAGAATGGATTTTAGCAAGTTTAGCATTATTTTAGGTAGATTTTTTTTTAAACTAAGTCCTACTAACAACTATTGAATCTTATACAGTTGCTGTAAACCACAATGCATGATGGTATGGCTAAACTCTCTTTTTTATTTGCCCTGCTTTCAGATATACAAGTTCTGGTTTTTTTCCTCTGTTATTTTAAATAATTATTCTTATTACTTTAAAATATTTGAAATGATACTTTATTCACACTATTTTGAGAAAAGCAAAACAGAAATCATCTTTTCTACTCAGTTACAATCTTACCATGCCATGTTCTACCTTCAAGAAAAACAATCGCTATCTGCATAAAGAGACTGTATTAATAACATAGGCAAAGTTCAATATTATACTGTTTTCTCTAGCTATTTACCTAAGGACTAAGTGATTCTTCTATACAGTACCAGAGGTTTTTAACAATTAAAAAAAAAAAGATAGTTTTGATGGGGAAATTCTGTTCCATTTTGTATCATGGTCTGCTATGTAGTTCCTTTGGAGTTAATTGTTGTTAGTGCCGTTGAGTCGGTTCCGGCTTTTAGCGACCCTGTGCACAACAGAACGAAACACTGCCCTGTCCTGCGCCATCCTCACAATCGTTGTTACGCTTGAGCCCATTGTTGCAGCCACCGTGTCAGTCATTTCATTGAGAGTCTTCCTCTTTTTCACTGACCCTCTGCTTTACCAAGCATGATGTCCTTCTCTAGGGATTGGTCCCTCCTGATAACATGTCCAAAGTGTGTGAGACAAAGTTTTGCCATCCTTGCCGCTAAGGAGCATTCTGGCTGTACTTCTTCCAAGACGGATTTGGAGTTGATTAGGATATCTTAATTAGACATTCTTTTAAAGTTAGAGAAACCAGATATAGATGCATCCGTAATAGAGTGGTGATGGTCAGTGAGGGACTCTGTGGTATGGTCTAGTCCGCTGGTGAACACGTGGTTTAAATCTAATGTGGTTCAGCAGAGGTACTTTTGCACTGTGTCTTCTCTTCATTGAATATTGTTGCAACTTCGCAATCCAGCTCATCAGTAGATATTTTTATGCCAGCTCATCAGTGAATCAGCGTGGAGGTAGACAAGGAGACAGAAGATGGTGATGTGATTGACATGACCGCCGAAGCAGAAACCAGTATGCTGTAGTTAAAGATACTTAAAAAGGGGACTTCTAATTGCCTTCTATATCGAGCAAATCTCAGTGGTCAAAAAACTTTTTCAGAACCCTATTCTGATTCCAAAGAAGAAAAATGAGGAATCAAAATAAAAATTTTGCTTTTTCATGGATAGATATATGTACAGGGACAGGAAATCAGTGGTTGGCAATGGGCTGTTATATAAAATTTTCTCTTATTGCCCAGGTGCACCAATTTAAATATCAGCAGAAATTTTTATTGCCAAATAAAGTGCAGCAGCCTGTAAAGTAGCCTGGTTAAGTCCTATTCTTCATCTCTAGGAAACCCTAAGTCTACAATGTATTGACGCTGTTGTTGTGTGAGAGAGAACTTAACCATTGCCTCATTTTACCATTTCTAAAATGATGAACTTAACAGTTGCATTAAGCCAAAAGTAAAGAGCACAGTTTACAACTAAATATGAATAGGGAGCCATGTTGATTTTGGCAGGAATTTTTGCTGAAAAAATCCCCTGTAGTAAGCCCATGTAAGGTAAATTCATAGTAAGATCAATTGGCATAAGTTTTTCTTTGTTAAAGAATTTTTTCAAAATTCTTAAGTAGCCCTTTTTCTAATAAGGCCTTTTTTTTAAATTAAATTTTTAAATTTTTTCCCATACAAAGATTTATACATACATTGTTAAGTGACCCTAATTGCTCTCCCCATACTGTGACAGCACACTCCTCCTTTCCACCCGATTCCCCGTGTCCATTCCACCAGCTCCTAACCTTTTCTGCCTTCCCATCTCACCTCCAGACAGAAGCTGCCTGTTTAGTCTCTTGTATCTAGTTGAGCTAAGAGGCACACTCCTCACAAGTATCACTTTATGTCCCGAAGTACAATCCAATCCCTGTCTGAAGAATTGGCCTCGGATATTGTTTTAGTTCTGGGCTGATAATCCAGGGCTCATGCTTTCCGGGGTTCCTCCAGTCTCAGACCATTAAGTCTGGTCTTCTTACTAGAATTTGAGTTCTGCACTCCACCTTTCTCCTGCTCCACCTGGGACTCTCTGTTGTGTTCCCTGTCAGGGCAGTCATTGGTGGTAGCTGGGCACCATCTAGTTCTTCTGGTTAATAAGGCCATTTTTAAAAGCTGGCCATCATATTTGTGATGGTTGGCTGTATTTGTATATTTCTGTTAGATGGGTAATTAAAAACTCTTTTAATCACAGGTGGCACAGGATCTTTGCAAAGTAGCAGGTGTAGCAAAAGTTCTGGTGGCCGAGCATGATGCCTACAAAGGCTTCCTTCCAGGTGAGATTTTCCAGTGGAAAAAGTGTAGTGTCTAAATTATGCTTGAATGTATGACTATGAGGATATTATGAAATGTGTTTATCAAATGTGTTTAATTCTCAGAGGAACTGACGCCATTGATTCTAGCAACTCAGAAGCAGTTCAGTTACACACACATCTGTGCTGGAGCATCTGCCTTTGGAAAGGTGAGACGATTGAGCATGGGGAATCTGATATCACTACTCTGAAAGGCTAGATTTCACTGTGCCAGAAATGTACAACAGACTTTATTTAGATAGCCAATCCTGAGTCTTCTGAATTAATGTGATAGTCTTGCTAAAATTTATTCTTTCAAGATTTTGTCGTAATTTGTTAAAATGCCGCTTACAGGTTTTCAAATTTTATTGTGGAGAAAACTCTATTTAGGCTATTTTAAAATGATGTTTGTTTAAAAACAACGTTGAGTTCTGTGTGTACGTGTGTGTGTGTGTGTGTGTGTATGTGATTTGTATAAGTAACCCTTTTTAAGAGATACCTTATTTGTGTGGCTGATGAATATTTAAAAAGGCTAAATCATCTCTACTTGGGGGTTTTGGGAAGGGCCAGTGGTGGTTGAAGATATCCTCAGGGTAAAGAAAGCCGTAATCTGATCATGTGCATTGTGATATGTGTGAAGAAAAAATGTGCTAGCAGATGGGTGCTATAGTAGTCTGCATGAAGTTTTAAAGGGGTTGGGGGTGTGTGTAGAAGGAACCCAAGAGAAGGAATTTGTTAGTGGATCTTTCTTGCTCTCTGTAGCCATGGGTATTATCCTAACTTGCTTTTCTTTTATTCTATTCATAATAAGCTGCAGTCTTTAGTCTTTCTTTTTACTTTTTAAAATTATAAACTAAGGTGTACACAAATACATTCTTACTGTAAAGGATGCATACAGTACATAAGTACAGATATCAAAGTCCCCTTTTTATTCCCAATGCACTCTTCTGTCTTCAGAGGTACAACTTTTAACAATTATACATTCTTTTAGGCCTCTTCATATGGATTTTAAAATTATAATACATGTACAAGTATTTTTTTTTACTTCTAAAATGCAATAGTATGGCATGAATTGTTTTGTGACTAGTGGTATTGACCATGTCTTGAAGATATTAGCTCATAATGTACCTGTCTCATTTTTTACAGCTGTATAATATTCCACATTTAACCAAGGATGGGCAGTTAGGTTGTTTCAAATTTTTTACATTTGTAAACATTACTGCATATATCTTTGTATATATGTGCTAATATTTAGTTACAGTAGATTTCTAGAATTGAAATAACTGAGCAAAGACTATGTGCAGTTAAAATTTTGATATATATTGCTAAATTGCCCTCTTAAATGGATGCCTCCGTTTACACTCTGCCAGTTGCACATGAGAGTACCTTGCCAATACCTGGTATTACACATTTCAGCATTCTCCCCTCCCCTGATCTGATGGGTAGAAATTTTTATCTTGTTTAATTTTGGATTTCTCTCGTTGTTAGTGAGACTGAACATCTTTTCGTATATTTACCAGTCATTTTAATTTCGACTATAAATTTTCTTGATTTGTTTTTTTCCCTTTTAAATTCATAATTCCATTGCAGTTGATTTTTAAATATGAGTTTGGGAAATAAGATATGAGCTCTTCCATTAACTATCCCTGTTGAGTGTCAGTAACAGTCAGGTTCCAATATATTGCTCTCTGTTCTTGCAAAATGAGTAGTACTTGGTGAAAATTTTTCTGTGGTCCAGTATTGCTTCTAGGCATGAGGAATCATGGCAAACTGTGCAGAGACTTTGTACAGTTACCCATGTAAATGGCATGCAGGTACACAAGGAAACAGAAGATGATAATATGACTGACATGACTGTAAAGCAGAAACTAGTATGTTGTAATTAAAGATATTTGAAAAGTTTTTTTCTAACCCGTAGAATTCTCAGTTTGAACTCATTAAAATTTTTCATTTAAGGCTAATATAAATGAATGACTTAAGGTGACTTTCCAGGCAATAACAGAATTTCCAACCTATAGTATAAACACAAGTTTAATGGGCAATTATTCTTTTATAAAGCCACATTGCAGACTCATAAATTACTCACTTTTTGCATGGAGTTTGCTAATTGATAGGTAAGATTGTTCCACAGACATATATGATATTGGGCTAGTTATTTACCTTCCTAAAGTCTGTTTTTGTTATATCTAAAATAATGGAGTTTGACTAGGTGATCTACCATTAGAGATGTTAAAAAATGCAATGGGTTTTCTCTATGGTAGATTTCTCTTTCACTGGAGATGGTTAAGTCAGAGGCTTGACATCCAACTACTTACTATACTCTGGGATATTATAAAAGGGATTATTGCAGTAGATGAGCATTGAACTAGAAGATCTTTGTGGACCATTTCATCTCTGAGAATTTTTATTGTATCTTGGATGACTTAAACAATTTCATGAGTCTGAAGTTTCTGTGGTGACAGTTGACCGGAAAGATTGTTAGACAAAGGAAGGGTGCTTGTTTCGTTTTATTAGCCAGATTTTAATAATCCGGCCTTGATTGCTGTGTTATAATATATGGGTCACATAATAATAAATGATGCTTCAGCCCCTGAATGAGTTTGGAATGAGAGCCCATCAGATGAAGCTAAACAATTTGCTCTGTAACTATCCTTTGCCAATAGTGGTTTTGAGATAACACACTTTTATATTGGTATGCTAGGATTTTTAATTCTACGAAGATGAAAAGAACATAATGACAGTTATCACTTCCCCCTCAATGTGGTCAAGTCTGTTGGAGAGTACAGAGATATATCCATTTACCATCCACCCTTTCAGGGTAGTTAGATGGAAGAACAGACCCAGAAAATATATATATACCTATAAGTACCATGGTGATTTTTTTCAAGATGTGCTAAAATAAAACAAGGGGTAATGAAATATCAAAAGACATTAAATTTCAAGCAGTTTAAAACTTTAAAAAAGTTACATTCTGCAGAACATAGAATCTGTGAGAGAATCTGCTTAGCCAAATAACAATATTCCAGTAGTATTTCTTGAACAGCTAGAAAAGATGGTTGAGGTACAGGGTTACTCACAGAAGCAGGATTTCAGTACTGACAAATATGGTTTGTTTTGGAAGTAGGTGTTTTCTAAACCTATTACTAAGTTAGAACTATTTTTTTCCCCAAATCTTTTTTTTTTTCTGTTGGACCTTTTTTTTTTTTTATCTAATTGTGGTTTTACAAACTGGTACTTTTCAGTAGCTTCTTTACCATGGTTGACAAAGGATTACTACATAATGTAAGTAACAAACTGAAAATTAGAAAACCTGTTAGAAATATGACGGGAGAGAAATTGACTCAGGCTTTCAACGCTTGTTAGCATTGATTTATGTAAAACTACTTATTATGGTTTGGAGATAGGGACACAAAAGAAATAGAAAAAACAAAACCTTTGCCCTCGGGGTACTCATAAATCTAGTTGAGGGTTATATAACGTGTATTAAAAATTATTGTAAAACAAGATAACACGTTAGTACCAATTCATATAGTATAATTATACATATATGTGGGAGGATGCAGAATAAAGGAGTAATTAGAGGATAATCTGAGATAATTCTTAGCGAGCAGAGAGGGTTTGGGGTTGGAAGAGAGAGGAACTTGAGAGTGTGCCCATAGGAGGCAGCGTCATGTACCAAGTTCAGGAATGAGATGGAGTAAACTCTGTGTAGAAAGCTGTGTAGAATTCAGCTTTTCTGTTGGTGTGATAAAAGCAGCACTTCACTTTTTTGTGATTATATAGTATTAGGATTAATGATGTCATCATCTAAGAGCACCTTTATAGCTAGAAAGCATGGATTATCAGTCTTCACTGACTGACTCTCCTGTTTTAGAGCCCTAGAGTCATAGAATTTTAGACTAGAAGGGTAGGGATTCTCCTCCCCTCATTGTGAGGTGACATAACTGAGACCTGGGGAGAGTGTCGCTTTCCCTAGGGTCCCAGCTAGTGAGAGCAAAGCTGTCACATGTATTTATTCCAGGGATGTTATATGCTTATACAAAGAAAAGCATATAAATATATTCTTGCCACACTGTATACATATCATGCAGGCTGTTCTTCACCCTCCTCATTTTCTTTTTTTTGGAGGGAGGTTTACATAGTATTCCATTGTGTAGGTGAGCTATAATTTACATAACTCATCTCCTGCTGGTGGACATTTGGGTTAATTTTGATCTTTTTACAACATCAGTTTAACAAAAGGTAGAACGGTCTACTTCGAAATTGTTTTCTTTCATATAAAGTAAATATAATCAAAAACCAAACCTGTTGCCGTCAAGTCAATTTCAACTCATAGCAACCCTATAGGACAGAGTAGAACTGCCCCATAGGGTTTCCAAGGCTGTAATCTTTATGGCAGGCTGCCACATCTTTCTCCCACAGAGCGGCTGGTGGGTTTGAACCGCCAACCTTTTGGTTGGCAGCTGAGCGCTTAACCACTGCACCACTGAGGCTTCTTAAGTAAACCTGCAGAAGTATAATCTTTTTTTTTTTTTTTTCAGTATTTGAGAATATTGAAATTGCTACTCTTTTAAATATTTTTTCTATCTTTTATTTAAATCAGTCATAGGTAACTGTCACACTTTTTAAGTGGCATTCATTAAAGCAAACATTATATCTCATAAATCATATTGAATTAAAGGAGTTTACTTACTGTTGCTAGGTGCTGTCGAGTTGTTTTTGATTCATAGTAACTGCATGTGATATAATAAAAATACCTCATAGGATTTCTCGGCTATAATCTTCACATAGAACTCATAAAACTCCTAATGTAGTGAGAATAATAATAGACTTCCAGTTAATCTCAAAGGCTATTAAAAAGCTGTGCTTGAAGTTGTGGTATATCAAAGGATGAATGTGAAATATCAAATATTTAACATCTTTACAGAATATGCATTTAGAGAATGACATTGCTGATAGTTTATAAACATCAATCAGCATGTATGTGTGCAACTCACTGCTTATTTTGCTTTTAGAACCTTTTGCCCAGAGTAGCAGCCAAACTTGATGTTGCCCCAATTTCTGACATCATTGCGATCAAGTCACCTGACACATTTGTGAGAACCATTTATGCAGGTGAGTACCCAAAGAAGATAATTAACATGTTAAATCTTAGTAAATTTTAAAAGCCAAGCTTAATCTTGAAGATAGATTTTAAAACAAGCTATCCAGTTGCTTTAAATGGACCATCTTAAGGGTTTCTGGGAAAAATCTTAGTCTTAGAATTGCTGCTGAACTGTGACATGGCATTCTCGCTGATAGATCCAGAGCACAGTTCTTTCCTACCTCGTCATTCAGTTTGCAGGGAGATTTTTCCAATGGTCAATAAAAATTAGATTCACTAGTTCAATATATTTTATAAGTGGCACCTGGAAGAGCAAAGCTCTTTTCAAATAGTATTCTCAGTCTGCTTCTCCTATTCTATTTCTGTTTGCATTAAGAAATTCATTTCAGTGTCTCTTGAGTTGTTTGATCTCTCACTAAGCATACTGGTCTCCAGTGGGGCTGGAGAAGGCAGTGTACTCTTTGTTCTTTCTGATTAAAATTGTGTATTTCAGTATAAATGGTCAGTTCTCACATCAAACCTTTTATCTTTTATGTTTGAGGGGAAATAATTTGGTCACAGTTTAGGTCACTCTTAATGTGATTGCTAATCCATAAGAAATGCCTCAAATCCTTTTAAAATCTTGGCACAGCTTCACTTCCTGTCCTTTATGCCCTATCATGTAATCACGTATTTTCCTCCCATAGGACGTCTAGTAGCTTTATTCTTATTAACTTGTTGCAGTTCATATTGTTGAGTTACTGATCATGGCTTTTTTCCTTGGCTAAGGAAGCTGTGTGAGGTTCCTTTAGGGGAGGTATACCTTATTAGTGTGTCTGCTTGTTCCAGTTTTTTCACTTCCCAGAAGGTCAGCACCTGTCCTATTTTTAACGACCTCCAGGGTTATACAAACATCCACATCCACTGATAAACGCTTCTTCACTGTTCATGGTTGTCTTTTTTCTACACTTAGTAGAGGTAGAAAACAACTAGTCCACAGTTATTTTCTTACCTGGTCTTTGTGAAGTAAATTCTGAGCCTCAAAGGAATACTTGTTTTGTTGCTTTTTGAGAGATCCTGTTTTTAAAAAGTTAATCTGTGTGTTATAGGAAATGCTTTATGTACAGTGAAGTGTGATGAGAAAGTGAAGGTGTTTTCTGTCCGAGGAACATCTTTTGAAGCTGCAGCAACAAGTGGAGGTAGTGCCAGTTCAGAAAAGGGTAAGTGTTAATCTTTTCTTTTTAAATTCAGATTATATTAGATTAGTCATGACCTCTGGTTAAATTTCTAATGCAGAGTATTTAATAGCTCAGTCTGAATGATATTCCCAAGCTTATATAAGATAATAGGAAATATTTATAATTTATGTCTTTTTCACATAATTGTTGGTACTAGCATAGCTGCTTTGGTGCATCAAGGAGGTGAGAGAGAGGGGATCCATTAAGGCTAATCTGTTACATTGATGTTAAGGTTTTTTACTCTCTTCTCAATATTTCCATAATACTTGGGAGAGTTAATATAATAGAAGAATGTAATTGTAATAAATGCATAGAGGATGTTACACTTTAACATATATAGTATCTTATTTGAACTCAGATAGGGGATTATCCTAGTTTTACAGCTAGACTCAGAGAATTAAATGACTTCTCAACAGTCATGCAGCTAATGAGGTGAAGGCTAGAATATAACCCTTTTACTCTTTCCAAATCAGAGAAATTGAGATTAGGAAAACAGAAAATTCAAAGTAACTAACAAACTTAAATTCATAGATGTATGTATTTGTGTGTTTCCGTTACAAGTAATTCCAATTTTAGAACTTTAAAGCACAGGCATTGTTTGTTTTCTGTCAATGCTTGTAGCATCAAGTACTTCACCAGTGGGGATATCAGAATGGCTTGATCAGAAATTAACAAAAAGTGATCGACCTGAGCTAACTGGTGCCAAAGTGGTGATATCTGGTGGTAAGTGAAATATTGTAATTTCTGAATTTTAAAAGATGATGTAAACTTGTAATATTTTGATTTTATTAGTATTTATTTCAGAGGAGCACAGTTTTTTTCTTCAAATATAAGACGTAGGTACATGGCAACTATTATTCCCATTTCACCAGTTAGGAAAATGAAGTCAAAATTATGAGCATAATACACAACTTGGACTTTCTGTTGCAAATTTGTGTCACTGACACCAGGGGGAGCATAGTACAAATCTCATCTTCAAAGCTTTGTGACTTACATCTTTCGGCTTACTGGCTCACTTCCATGTTAATCTGCAGAGTGTGGTTGGCTTCTGAATCATAGAAAGAAAAAAATGATTGGAGTCTTAGGGCCATGTCGTATGATTCCCATTGTTCACTTCTGGGGTTGTCCAGGTTTCTGTGGATATCTTTGAAAGTTTCTTCACATTTAATATCTGAACTGTTAATATTGCCCAAGACTTGCTTCTTTTTTTTTAAATCTTGTTTGTCCATGCCATTGATAATGCTGCACAGCCTGATTAAATTTTTTTCCTAAATTTTATTTATTTTGTTGGTGTTGCTGTTGAGAATATATACAGCAAAACATACACCATTCAAAAGTTTCTGCATGTACAGTTTAGTGACGTTGATTATATTCAAGTTGTGTAACCACTGTCACCCTTCTTTTCAGAGTTGTTCCTCCCTCATTAACATAAACTCACTGCCTCCTAAGTTTCCTATCTAATCTTAGGAGTTGCTGTTGACAATTTGATCCCATGTAGATAGTTCTTAAAAGAGCATAATGCTCCAGGCAGACATTTTTTACTAGTTAAGCTAAACTATTGTTCAGTTTTAAGATGACTTCAGGGAATATTCTTGGTTTAAGCTTTAAAGATTATCTCAGGTCAGTAGTTTCAGGGGTTCATCCATCCTTCATGGTTCCAGAAAGTCTGGATTCCATGAAAATTTTAAAATTTGTTCAGCAATTTTCCCCCTTTTAACCAGGATTCTTCTGTGGAATCTTTAATCAAAATGTTCAGCAGTGGTAGCCAGGCACCATCCAGTTCTTCTGGTCTCATGGCAAAGGAGGCAGTTGTTCACTGAGGCAATTAGCGACACGTTCCATATTATCCTCCTATTCCTTACTCTCCTTTTTCCTCTGTTGCTCCAAGTGCATAGAGACCAATTCTTGTGCCTTGGATGGCAACATGTAAGCTTTTAAGACTCCAGGCACTACATGAAGAATTAGAAGGTAGAGCAGAAGCACTAAACATGTTATTAGGCTAGTCAGCTGGGATGTCCCATGACACCATGACCCTAAACCTCCAAACCAAGGAACCAAATTCCATGAGGTGTTTGGTTGTACATAAGCAGTCTCAGCAGTTAATCTTTTTTTTGTTGTTGTTGCCAGTATTGTAAATACATCTGTCAGATGACTTTTGCCAGTTCAACTTTTACAGGTGTACAACTTATTGACAGCAATTACAATGATCAACTGGGCAACCTTACCCTTAATGTGATTTTTCCATCATCGTTAACCCCCCTTTTCCCCCTCCCTCCTGCCCCTGGTAACCACTAATAAACTTTGGTCTATGTACATTTACCTTTTCTTATCTTTTTATATATAAGTGAGATTATACAATATTTGTCCTTTTGTGATTGGCTTATTTCACTTAGCATAATGTCTTCAAGCGCCATCCATAGTGTAGCGTGTATCAAGACTTCATTTCTCCTACTGCTGAGTAGTATTCCGTTGTATGTGTGTACCACATTTTGTTTATCCATTCATCTGTTGATGGGCATTTAGGTTGTTTCCATCTTTTGGCTATTGTGAGTAGTGCTGCGGTGAACATTGGTGGACAAGTCTCTTTTTGAATCTCTGCTTTCAAGTCTTTTGGGTATATACCTAGGAGTGTAATTGCTGGGTCATATGCTAATTCTATTTTTAGTTTTTTGAGGAACTGCCACACTGTTTTCTACAATGGCTGTACCATTTTGTATTCCCACCAGCAATGGATTAGGGTTCCATTTTCCCCATATCCTCACCAACATTTGTTATTTTCTGTTTTTTTTCTTTTAATCTTAACCTTCCTAGTGGGAGTGAAATGGTGTCTCTTTGTGGTTTTGATTTGCATCTTTTTGATGGCTAATGACATGGAGCATCTTTTCATGTGTCTCGTGGCCATTTAATTGTCCTCTTTGGTGAAATGTCTATTCATATCCTTTGCCCATTTTACGATTGAGTTGTCTTTTTGTTGTTGTCAAAGTTTTATATATATTTTGGTCATTAGATTCTTATCAGATCTATGGTTTCTGAAGATATTCTCGCAGTTGGTAGCTTGTCTTTTCAGTTTTTGGAAAAGTCTTTTGATGAACAAAAGTTTTTAATTTTTATTAGGTCCCATTTATTTATTTTGTCTTTTGCTATTTGTGCTTTTGTTATTATATAATCCATTCTTAAAAGCTAGGTCTGACAGCATTGCCCCTGCATCTTCTTCTAAGGATTTTATGGTTTTAGTTTGCATATTTAGGTCCTTAATCCATTTGAATTTGTTTTTGTGTATGGTATGAGGCTTGGCTCCTGTTTCATTTTTCTGCGTATAGAAATCCAATTTTCCCAGCACCATTTATTGAAGAGATTCTTCTTTCTCCATCAAGTGGACTTAGCACCCTTGTCAAAAATTAGTTGACCATAGGTGTGTGGGTTTATTTCTGGGCTCTCAGTTCTATCCCATTGTTCTGTGTGTCTATTGTTATACCAGTACCAGGCTGTTTTGATTACTGTAGCTGTATAATATGTTTTAAAATCAGGTAGTGTGAGTCTTCTTACTTTGTTCTTTTTCAGTGTTGCTTTAGCTATTTGGGGCCCCTTGCCATTCCATATAAAGTGGAAGATTGGTTTTTCTATTTCTGTAAAGAAGGCTGTTGGAATTTTGATCAGGATTACATTGAATCTGTAGATTGTTTTGGGTAATATTGACATCTTAACAACATTAAGTCTTCCAATCCATGAACATGAAACATCTTTCCATTTATTTAAGTCTTCTTTAATCTCTTTCAGCAGTGTTTTATAGTTGTCATTGTATAAGTCCTTTATGTCTCTGGTTAAATTTATTCCTAGGTATTTTATTCTCTTAGGTGCTATTGTAAATGGAATTGTTTCCCTAATTTCCCCTTCATATTGCTCACTGCTGATGTATAGAAACCCAGCTGATATTTGTTTGTTGACCTTGTACCCTGCAAGTTTGCTAAATTCCTCTATTAGCTCTAGAAGTTTCCTTGTGGATTCTTTGGGATTTTCTGTATATGGAATTCATATCATCCACGAATAGAGATGATTTTACTACTTCTTTTCCAATCTAGATACCTTTCATTTCTTTTTCTTGTCTTCTTGCTCTGGCTAGGACTTCTAATACAGTGTTAAATAGAAGTGATAAGAGCGGGCACCCTTGTCTTGTTCCCGATTTCAAAAGGAAAGCTCTCAGTCTTTCTCCATTTAGTATCATGTTGGCTCTTGGCTTTTCACATACGCCCTGAATCATACTGAGGAATTTCACTTCTATTCCAATCTTCTTTGGGGTTTTCATCAAGAAAGGGTGTTGGATTTTATCAAATGCTTTGTTGTGCTTCCATAGAGATGATGTGTGGTTCTTTTCCTTTGTTCTATTGATGTGGTGTATTACGTTGATTGATTTTCTGATGTTGAACTATTCCTGCATTCCTGGAATAAAGCGCACTTAGTCATGGTGCATGACTCTTTTAATATGCTTTTGGATTCTGTTCCTAGTGTTTTATTGTGGATTTTTGCATCTATATTCATAAGAGATACTGGCCTGTAGATTTGTTTTCTTGTGGCATCTTTGTATGTTTTTGGTATCAGGGTTATGTTTATTCGATGAATGAGATAGGGAGTATTTCTTCCTCCTCTATCTTTTGGAAGAGTTTAAATAATATTGGTGTCAATTCTTCTCTAAACGTTTGGTAGAATTCCCCAGTGAAGCCATCTGGTCCAGAACTTTTTTTTGTTGGGAAGTTTTTAATCACTGATTCAGTCTCTTCACTTGGTATGGGTCTGTTGAGACTTTCTGTTTCCTCTTGAGTAAGTTTGGGTACGTTGTGTGTGTCTAAGAATTTGTGTATTTCATCTAGGTTATCCAGTTTATTGCTGTACAGCTATTTGTAATATTCTGTCATAATTCTCTTTATTTCTGTCAAGTCAGTTGTAATGTCCCCTCTTTTGTTTTATTTTGGTTATTTGCATCTCTTCTCTTTTCTTCGTCCGTCTAGTTACAGGTTTGTCAATTTTACTGATCTTTTCAAAGAATCAATTTCTAGTTTTATTGATTTCTCTATTGTTTTTCTGTTTGACTTGCTTCTTCTGTATCATGCTCATTGTCGTATTTTTATCCAAATAACACACACCTTCTACATTTGTTTGCCAACCGCACTCTTGCCTGTGAGTATTTTCAGAAGTGCCGCTATGCTAATTTTTTTTACATGTTGCTATATAAAAAAATTAGCCTAGCATGCTTAAGAAGATACTTTGTGGGGGGAGGGCGCAGTTAGCCAACAAACGTGGAAGGCACATGTTATTTGCGTAAAAATATGGTAAAAAAAAAAAATTAAGAAGACCACTTATTGAAATTATTTAAAAATCTTTCCAAATTAAACATAAGCACATCATGCAGAAAATAATTATCCAAACAGCCTTGTATTGCAAGGGGCATTGAAAAAAAATAATGCAGTATTTTAAAAAAACGTATCTGACACATTTATTCATTTGAGAAACAGATGTCTGTTCTGTCTGGGCCCTATGAAAAGTGCTGGAGAAGCAAAGATGAAAAGGCAGGGTATTCTTGTTCTTAGGAAGTTTAAAGTTTGGTAGAGTGACTTCCACTCAAATAATAACTTTAGTCAGTTACTGAGCTAATATTTATTGAGCATTTACTTTGTCTAAGAAATATTGCTAACTACTGTGGATATAGCAGTCACCAAATTAGTTACAGACTCTTCAGTTAAAGAGTCTTCATTCTAATGATATTAAAGATTAATTGCACAATTAGTTTATTAATGAGTTAATTACAGTAGTGTTCATGTTTTGTAGAAGTACAGAAGTAAGGACAAGCATGAGGTAGCATAGAAGTCAAGAAGGACTTTATAAAAGAGGTAGTATGTTTAATATGGCAATTGTGTAATATGAAAATTCATTCAGGTATACAAAGTAACACATTATATAAGAATAGAGTTTATATTTGCTAATTTTTTTTTTTAAATCTTTTTAATAAGGTCGGGGTTTGAAGAGTGGAGAGAACTTTAAGTTGTTATATGACTTGGCAGATCAACTACATGCTGCAGGTAAAGTTATTTTCTTTAATAGATGAATGTTTCTTTTTGTTGGAAATATTGTTTCTTCATTATTTATGTATAGGTCAGTCAAGGCTGTAAATTATTTAATTTTCTGTAGTTTTCTGCTTTTCTTTTTGAAAAGAGCCCTCCAAGTAAATGGTATTGAATTTATCCAATCAAAGAGAGGATGTCCTTGTTCTTTAATATTTATGTGACACTCTTTTATTTGCCAAATCTAGTAGTTTTTTTTTTTTTCATTTTAAAAAAATGTAGATGTCGGCTTCAGTGCCCACTTCTGGTTCAGGAATGCCCTGATTTTTCTCTTTATTGGTGGTTTAATGTAAACCTCATACAAATAGATAGGCATTTAAAATTATTCTTAAAAATGTAGTTAACCATTTATAGGAGAGATAGAACCTGTTATTAAAAGTGCATTGATAAGAATGGAATTTTTTTGAAAAATCAGAAAAATTTTAAATATTTTAGATTAATTTTTAATCACACAAATACATAAATATTTCTTTTACAAAACTAAAACACTATAGACAGGGCTGAAATTATCCCTGACCACCAGTCCTAATTCTGTCTCTTCTCTACTTCTTAAGAGTTTTGTGTCTAACTTCCAGGCTTTTCCTTTGCTGTTATATTACATAATCTATGTAATGGTAATGGTTTTGTCTGAATAAAGGTAAATTACTGATGGTAATCAGATGGCGCTATTTGACTTAGGATGCTTATTTCATTCATTCATTCGACAATATTTACTGATCATCTGCCATGTGGCGGGTACTATATTAGGTGCTGCATAAATAACAGTGAACAAAATAAGCAGAAATTTTTGCCTGTGTAGAACTTGCATTTCTAGCTGTGTGGGACAGACATTGTATTTGTTTCCTGCGGCCGCTGCAACAAATTACCATAAACTTGGTGGCTTAAAACAACAGACAGTTATTCTCTCACAGTTTTGAAGGCCTGAGGTCTAAAGTCACAGTGTTGGCAGGACCGCATTCCATCCAGGGACTCTCAGGGGGAATCCATTCCTTGATTCTTCTAGCTTCTGGTGGCTGTCCTGGCATTTATTCCTCGGCTTGCGCCTGCATCGCTCTAATCTCTGCCTCTGTCTTCACATCACCTCTCCTCTGTGTCTGTGTCTAATCTCCCCTGCTTCCCTCTTATGAGAATGCGTGTGATGGCATTTAGAGTCACTAGATAATCCAGAATAAGCTCTTCCTCTCAAGATCTTTAACTCTGTCACATCTTTTGCCATATAATGTAGTATTTACTTTTTTTGCCACATAAGGTAATATTCATAGATTCTGCAGATTAAGAAGTGAATATTTCTTTGGAGTCCCATTTTTCTGCTTACCACATACATTGAGCATAATAAGTTAGTGAAGATTATAGTATCTTACAGAGTGGTAAATGCTATGGAGAAAAATAGAGCAAGAGAAGGAGGAGTTTTGGGAAGGGAGCATTGTAATTTTAAATAAAATGGTTAGTGTAGGCTTTAATGACAATGAGACATTTGAGCAAAGGTTTGAAGGAGTTGAGGGAGCAAGCCTTGAGGCGATCTCTGGGAAGAGTGTCCCAGACAAAGAGAACAGTAAAGTGCAGAGGCCTGTCTAAGGCAGGAGCATGTCAGGCATGTTTATTGAATAGCAAGGAGGCTAGTGTCTTAGTAGTTCTACTATAACAGAAATAACACAAGTGTATGGCTTTAGCAAACAGAAATTTATTCTCTCATAGCCTAGAAGGCTAGAAGTCTGAATTCAGGGTGCTTGCTCCTGGGGAAGGCTTTCTCTCTCTGTCGGCTTGGGGAAAGGTCCTTGTCATCAGTCTTCCCCTGGTCTAGAAGCTTCTCAGCACAGGGTCCGAAGGAAGCGCTCTGCCCCCAGCTCTGCTTTCTTGATGGTATGATGTCCCTATTTCTGTGCTTTCTTCTCTCTCCTTTTATCTCTTGGAAGATAAAAGGTGATGCAGGCTGCACCCCAGGGAAACTGTCCTTACATTGGATCAGGGCTGTGACCTGAGTAAGTGTGTTGCATCCCGCCCTAATCCTCTTTAACACAAACAAATCTTGCCTCATTAACCACAGGCAGAGATTAGGATTTAAAACACATAGGAAAATTACATCAAATCACAAAATGGTGGACGCCCCCACAATACTGGGAATCATGGCATAGCCAAGTTGACACACATTTTTGGGGGACACAGTTCAATCCATGACAGCTAGTATTACTGGAATGGACAATGTGAAAAGGAAAGTAGTAGGAGATAAAACTGGGGGTAGAGGCCTTGTAGACCACTGTAAGGAGATTGCTTTTCTCTAAGTGAAATGGGGAACCACTGGAAGATTTGAGCAGAAAAGTGAGTGACATGATCTGATAAATTTTAGAAGGATCACTTGGCTGCAGTGTTGAGGCTAGATTGTATGGGATAAGTGCAGTAACAGGGAGATCAACCAGGAGGCTATTTCAGGCATCCAGGTGAGAGGTGATGATGGTTTGGACCAGAGTAGCAGTAGATGTAGGAGAAATGGTCAGTTTCCAGATAGATATTTGAAGGTAGAGCCATCAGAATTTCATGGCAGACTGGATGTGGATTATGGGAGAGTTTTTGTCCTGGCAGCAGGTAGAAGGAAGTTGCTATTAGCTGAAAAGAGGAAGACCTCAGGTAGAGCAGTTTCCAGGGAGAGATCAGAGTTCAGTTTGGGACGTGTTAAGTTTTGAGGTGTCTAATAGAAATCTAAGTAGCGGTGTCAGTTTGGCAGGTGGTATAGGAATGTGGAGTTCATTGAGAAGTTTTGACTGGAGATGTAAATTTGGGAGTCATTTACATTTAGATGGTATTTGAAGGCATGAGACGATAAAATCACCAAGAGTATGGGGTAGAGAAAAAACCAGTCCCAGGATTAAACCCTAGACACTGTAACATTAAGTGGTAAGGGAGAAGAAGTAAAAGAAGACCAACAAGAAGTGGTCAGTAAGCCAAGTGAAGTGTTTCAGTGAGGGAAGGAGTCATCAGCTTTGTCAAATGTTGCTAATAGGTCATGGAAGATGAGAATTGAAACACGACTTTTGGATTTAGCTACTCAGAGGCCATTGGTGACTTTGATGAGCAGTGTCCGTGGAGTAGTGGGGGAAAAAGCCTGATTAGAGTGGGTTTAAAAGAATGATCTTGGGTGATGGTTACATGGCTGTGTTGACTTTATAATAAGCCACTGAGCAGCACATTAGTGATTTGTGTGCTTTTCTGTGTGTGATTGATATAACCTGTTGCCTTCGAGTTGCTTCCAACTCATAGTGACCCTCTAGGACAGAGTAGAACTGCCCCCATAAGGTTTCCAAAGCTGTAATCCTTATGGAAGCAGACTGCCACATCTTTCTCCCATGGAGTCGCTGGTGGGTTTGAACTGCCGACCTTTCAGTTAGCAGCCAAGGGCTTACCCACTGTGCCATCAGGACTGTGATTGATATATATCCTGGGTAATAAAAGAAGAGAGGACATAATGGGACGGAGGAACACTGAACAGAATTATAGATCCCATTAGGGTCAGAAGATTGTTGGAGGTGGGTACTATAGGGAGTCAGCTGGAAAGAGGAGCTCAGAGATAGATGTTGGAGATAATCGAGGGATTGTAGATATTGGTAATGGCAAGGTTTCAGATAGGAGCATGGGTGTGACTGTGGTAGGGTGGAGGACAGGATGACTGGAAGACAGTTGTTAAAGGAACTGAGAAGCCAGGCTGTTGAAATCTCCAAGAAGTTATTTAGGAGTAGTGTTAGAGAGTGTAACAATGACCCAGAAGCTAAAGATCATTGAGGAATGAAGGAGATTGACCCAGGAGTTGATAGATGACCATAGCCAATGAGTGAGTGACATAATCTGATGGCATGGGATTCAAATCTGAAGGCTTTTAGGGAGGAAGGAGGAAGAACTTTCTGTGAGTGGCAATAAGGAGGCCCTCCTCCAGGCCCAGTGGTATGAGTATGGTGGGAGACAAAGCAGCCACCACTGGAGAGGGCTGTGGGGAATAGGTGTCCTCAGGGACATCTACATTTTGGTGAGAGCAAGATAAGAAAAAGTTGGAAGATATAGAGGATTTTGGTGTGCTGATATTGGGCTGTGAGTGCCAGAAATCACAATGTAATGCTTTAGGAGTTGAGGAGGAGTAGGGGGTGGGTGCAGATTAGGGAGTCTGCAGGACATTATTTATGGGAATTAGTGTATGGATCATGAAGGGTAACCTCTGAATCTGGGGCTTCTTGTAGTAACTGACATAAATAAAGGGCAGATGATATTAGTCCTGGCTGACTCAAAGTAGATAGTCGTGGTAAAGAGTATTTGTCTAGAGTTCTCTCTAGATGGAGATGAAGGGGCCTGAGGTTCACTGTTTTTTATTTTGTTGTTGAGCATATTCACAGCAGAACATACACCGATTCAACAGTTTCTACATGTACAATTCAGTAACATTGTTTACATTCTTCAGGTTATGCAACCATTCTTGCTTTCCTTTACCAAATTGTTCCTCCCCGATTAACATAAACTCACTGCTCTCTAAGTTTCCTGTCTAACCTTTTGAGTTGCTATTGTCAATTTGATCTCATATAGATAGTTCTTAAAAGAGCACAATGCTCAAGACAGACATTTCTTTACTAATTAAGCTAAACTATTGTTTGGTTTAAACACCACAACCTTGTGGACCCAGCATCCTCAGCTACCCACTCCCCCGCCACCCCTCATATCCATTCCCTCCTTTGCAGCAAGAATCCCTGGAATTCAAGTTGTCTTTTCTGGCAGTCTCAACTTCGTGAGGCTCACTCTTGATCCCTGCTGGAGGAGGATGGTTTTATTCCAAGTATGGGGCTCCTTGTTGACTCCTGTTGAATGAGACTAGGAAGTCAGTTAGATCGGCAAATGTTGGTTAAACTTTTATCTTACGTTATATATAACTCATTTCTTTATCCAGTCACAGAGATAATGGTATAATGGTACCTATCTTAAAAAGTTATGAAGTCATTGCATAAAGGAACATTATAATGACATCCTGAATAGATTATAGTGTATGTTTTATGAATACCTTTTTTATAAAGAAAACAGAGGAATTAAACCAAATTTAAAATCTAAAACCTTGGGTATAAATAGAAGGCATTTTTAAAGTTCTGTTTATAAAATGAAGTAGTACTTAGTATTTAGAATTCTCCATCAGTGATAGGAATTTTTTTTTTTTTTTAAAGTAAGGCTGTTATAAAAGAAATTGCCAAGAGTACTATGTCAGTATCTTTTTTAAAAAAAAAACATTTGTCAGTGAATATCCCAACTAACTCAACAATCACAGCTTGAAAAAAATGACAAATATTTTTTCTCCTTAGTTGGTGCTTCTCGTGCTGCTGTTGATGCTGGCTTTGTTCCCAATGACATGCAAGTTGGACAAACAGGAAAAATAGTAGCACCAGTAAGTATTGCAGTAAAATATGCTATGCAGCATTCTATAGGAATAAGTACTATATATATATTTATTGAACAGTAATCTGAGTGATTTATGTCCCGTTCAATGTCCTAAGCAGTTAGCCATTTCCATGATGAATATGTCCTTCTCACAAGCAGTCCATACTCTTTTTTTTAAAGCTCTGCAAATTTCTTGGTCTCAGTAAAATGCTTAGCAGTTCTTAAATCCTGTTTTTTTTAAATCCCTGTCTTAGTTATCTAGTGCTGCTATAACAGAAATACCACAAGTAGTTGGCTTTAGCAAAGAGAAATTTATTTCTTCACAGTAAAGTAGGCTAAAAGTCTAAATTTAGGGCGTCATCTCTAGGGGAAGGCTTTCTGTCTGTCGGCCTTCTCATCAATCTTACCCCCAACTAGGAGCTTCTGTGTGCAGGGACTCTGGGTCCAAAAGACGCGCTCTACTCCCGACACTGCTTTCTTGGTGGTATGAGGTCCCCCTGTCTCTCTGCTGGCTTCTCTCTTTTATATCTCAAGAGTTTGCCTCAAGACACAGTCCAATCTTGTAGATTGAGTCCTGCCTCACTAACACAACTGCCACCCGTCCTCCCTCATTAACATCATAGAGGCAGGATTTACAACATACAGGAAAATCACACAATACCGGGAATCATGGCCCACCCAAATTGATACACACATTTTTTGAAGACATAATTCAATCCATGACAGCCCCCAATTTTTTTAAAGCAGTAGAACACTTTTTGTCAAATGAGGTCACATCACAACACCAAATATAAAACTGATAAAAGCAGCATTTTATTATTAAATGAATTTAATAAGTTCACATTGATAACATTCATTTATTATAAAACCTTGATATTATAAAATCAATTGGTTAGAACAATGAACCTATTTTAATTAACATAGAATTTCAAAATTGGGAGTTATGAATGACAGTTGTGTTGTTATGTCTTCCTGAACATAGTTTATTTCTATATTTTGTTTAATTACATAATATTCAGAAAATACTGATCCATATGGATAAGTAATACTAGAATAGTCTTCAGTTAAACCTATCCAAAACTTTTAAGAGGAATAGTGGGAAATTTTGGTTTCAAAATTGAATCACTAAGAGTATCTAATGACTGTTCACATTTCTTAGTTAATAAAAGTTCTCAATGAACAGGATTCTCAGCCATTTTAAATCTTTATTGTGTGGTGGAAAATGTGTTTTTATATATTTCAAAATGAGATATTAAGTCATGTCCATTTAAAAAAATCTTGTATCTCAGTGCCCTGTTCTATCAGATGTTCACTCAAATTTCAAAATAGTCAACTTTTTAAAGGCTTGTCTTTGAAGTTTGTTTCGATGTATCTGTTCAGGTCTTCTTATTGTTTCTTTGTAGTTCTTTATATAATCTCCAATTCTTTGACAGATGTACATATTGCTTCCCTATTCACTTTCTTTTTATGAGCAGAAATTTTAAATTTTGATAAAATTCAAAATTTCTTTCCACTTACAGTTAATACTTTCATATTCAGTTTATATAAAGTCAGATAAGAAGATCTCAAAACTTAAAATAGTAAAATTATTTATAATGTGGAGTCACAACACTGTGACTTGTTTGCTTGTGATGCCACATTAGTTAAGCTGTGAGAGCACTTACTGAACAGATGAGCTTGAGCCTTCCCTGGTATTTAATTAGGTTAGACACACATGCATTTTTATGGAAATCTCACTTGTCCTATTTTACAAGAGTAGACATCTTCAGGTCTAAATTCACAAAAGGTCAGCAGACCTATAACCTTCCTAATTAATAATACTTCTACAAGAAATTCAGGGATATGCACAGAGGTAGCAAGTAAACTTTTATTTGTTTTGATTGACAGAACGGGGGCACCTGTGGTTACTATTTTTGTTTTTTAAATATTTTATAAGGAGTTTTTGGTGAAAGTTTACGCAGCAAGTTAGGTTTCCATTTGACAATTTCTACACAAATTGTTCAGTAGCATTAGTTGCATTTATCACAGTATGTCAGCATTCTCTTTAATTGTGTTCTGTTAACAAACATTTGTTTGTTTGTACTCCATTTCCAGTTCTGTGGTTTCCCTGCCCCCTCATCTTCTCATCTTTACTTTTGAGTAATTGGTGACCTTTTGGTCTCATATAAATGGTTTTTAAGCAGAGCACCAATCTTACGGGTAATATCCTTTATTTTGTGTGCCACTCTGCTGTTTGGCTAGAAGGTGATCTCAGCAGATAGGCTCAGCTCCAGGTTTAAAGAATGTCTCTGGGTGACAGTCTCAGAGAGTCCTCTGTTCCAATTTGTCTGGCTTTGTTTTTAAAGAATTTAAGTTCTGCTCCACATTTTTCTCCCATTCTATCCAGGACCATCTATTGTGACCCCAGTCAGGACGGTCAGTGGTGGTAGCTGGGCACCATCTAGTTCTTCTGGCCTCAGGGTAGATGAGGTCCTGTCTCAGATTGATTTGTTCTCTGAGCTTTTGGCTCCCTTCTTACTGTTTTGCTCCTGGCAAAAGCACTAAATAAAACGCATATGTATACAATATTTAACAAATGAACAACAGTTAACATACAACTTTCACATAATAAATCTATTCCTGATATACTCCTCCCTCCCTCATTTCTGTTGGTGTGTCTCTATTAACCTTAATATACAACCTATTTTTGATAAGTTTGCTTTGTACTTATTTCTTACAAACTTAATGTTGTATTGTTTGCAGGGTTTAATTATTGAGTTTATTCCCTGAAAATATCATGTACCTGATCCTTGTGATTGCCGGTGTTACTGTGTTTTTTGGAAATCTCTCTGTCTCTCCTATTATGTATTTTTTCCTTGTATATACATACAGGTATTTATTTAATGCCCTTGCATTTCAGTTTGGAGTACTCTCTTGAGTAATACTTGCAAAGCTGGTGTGGTAGTGGCAAATTCCCAGAGCTTCTGTTTGTTTGGGAATGTCTTGATTTCCCCCTGTATAGATCTCGGAAATTCTCTCTGATTATCTCTTGGAGCATTGTTTCAATGCCTTTATTGTTGTCATGGTGCTCTGGGATTCCACTAATTCTAAAGTTAGATTTCTTAATTGAATCCCATATTTCCATTTGGGCTTGTTTGCTTTTCTTTGTTCTTTTCTCTTAAGATTTGATAAATTCAGTTATTTTGCCTTCTAGTTCATTTAGTCTGTTTTCTTTCTATGCAACTCTGTTGTTGAGTGTTTCTCTTCCTTTTTCTAATTCAGTTTCTTTATTCTTTGTTCCAGTAGTTTTCCATTTTTTTTTTATGTTTTCAATTTCCTTGTTGAGTCTCACATTTTGTTCTTCCATTTGATTCCTTATCTCCTCTAGTTTGTTTTCTGTGTGCTTTTTGCTTTCTTTAAACATATTTAGCACCATTCTGAAAATTATCAGTTCTTTCCATTAGCATGACTTCTTTACAGATACCCTTCTCACCCTGCTTGGACTCTGACACCCCTCTCTGGGCCATTTCTTTCCAAAGTGGTTATACAGTTTTATACTTGTACCAACTATGTATGTTGGTTCTAGTTATTCTCATCTTCTCCAACATTTGGTGTTTTAGCCATTCTGGTAGATATGTAGTGGTATCTCATTGTGGTTTTAATTTGCATTTCCCTGAGAGCTGATGATGATAAGCACTTTTCATATGCGCTTTTTGGCCATTCAGATATTTTCCTTCACTAAGTATCTATTCAAATCTTTTGCCCATTTTACTGAATTATTGTCTTTTTATTACTGAGTTGTAGAAGTTTTTTTTGTATATTCTGGATGCCAGTTCCTTATCAGATACATGTTTTGCAAATATTTTCTCCCAATTTGTGGCTTACCTACTTATTTTTTAATGATGTTAAATTGAGGAACTTCCCTTCTGTTCCTAATTTGTTGAGAGTTTTTATCATGAATGGGTGTTGAATTTTGTCAGATGCTTTTTATGTATCTATTGAAATTACTGGAACCCTGGTGGCCCAATGGTGAAGAGCCTGGCTGATAACCAAAAGGTCGGCAGTTCGAATCCACCAGCTGCTCCTTGGAAATGCTATGGGGCAGTTCTACTCTGTCCTGTAGGGTTGCTATAAGTCAGAATTGACTCAAAGGCAGCAGGCATTGAAATTATCATACGGTTCTTCTTCTCTATACTGTTAGTATGGTGAATTACATTGTTTGATTTTTGAATGTTAAACTAACCTTAAATTATTAGAATAAACCCCAGTTGGTGATGATCTGTTATCCTTTTAATATATTGCTACTTTTGGTTTGCTGATATCTTGTTAAGGATTTTTGGGTCTGTGTGCATCGGGATATTCTCTGATTTTCTTTATTGTAATATCTTTGTCTAGTTTGGTATCTGTGTTATGATAGCTTTATAAAATGAGTTGGAAAGTGTTCCCTCCTTCTTATTTTCTGAATGAGTTTGTGTAAGATTAGTGTTATTTCTTTTTTTTAAATATCTGATAGAATTCACCAGTGAAATCATCTGGGCCTGGAGTTTTCTTTGTTGGAGTATTTGACAATGAACTCAATTTCTTTAATAGATTTAGGGTTATTCAGATTTTCTATTTTATTTTGAGTCAATTTTGCTAAGTGGTCTGTTTCAAGGAATTGGTCTAATTCTTCTAAGGTGTCAAATTTATTGCATAAAAATTTTTATAGTATTACCTTATTTTCCTTTTATTGTCTGTAAGATCTAGAGTGACAGGACCTCTTTCATTCCATATATTGGTAATTTGTGTTTCTCTCTTTTTCCCTCTTCATCAGTGTAGCTAGGGTTTATAAACATTTAAAAAAAATCTTTTCTATGATCCACCTTTACAGCTTTATGCCATACAATTCACCCACTTAAAGTGTCCAGTTCAATGGTTTTTAATATATTCACAGTTATACAACTACCAACTGAGTCAATTTTAGACATTTTCATCACCTCAAAAACAAAACCCCGTACCCATTAGCAGTCACTCTCCATTTCCCCTCAA